AAGTTTTAGATTTTATCATCCTTTTGTAAGGTTGATTTTATTCATGAGATTTTGTGATTTGGATAAGTTCCGAGCCTTGTGCATTCGTGGGGCCCATTCACGAGTGCACGGCGTCTGCCACGTCCTCGGATTTGGGTTCTGGGGCGTGACAGATACCGAAATGGTGAGGTTGCACTCCAGTCCTAATTTGATTTTACAGTTTTCTCCTACAGAGGAGGAGGTTGCTTGGTTGAAGAAAAGCATGGTTGTCGTGGTTTGATCATTAGATATGGTAATGACAATCCAGAATAGGTTCGATGTTAATGGATTAATGGTGAATGTGGCTTTGTTAGGAGGTAGACAAGTTTTATTATTGGATAAAACAGAGGGATGTCTCGAGGAGTTTTTCAAGTGTAATAGTGATTTGGTAGAGTCATGGTTCGAATGGATACACACAACCTCTCTATTGGCTATGCCTTCAAGAAGTAGAATGGTATGGCTTAGATTTGCTGGCGTTCCATTGAAAGCATGGGCATGGAGTGAGATGTTTCACAGAGATGTTTTATACTCTTTGATGAAGACACAAGAGCAAATCGTTTTTAAGTGAAGGTAGAGTGTTGATTTTGAGTGATATGCAGAGCAAAATTGCTAATAGAATTGTTTTAATGGTGAATGGTGAGTCTTTTCCGATCGCAATGTCAGAGGAAGAATGGAGGATGGATCCGGTCTGGTGATTGGTCAGGGAACGATGAAATCCGGCAAGCTCGGAATCAGGTTCTAAATTTTCTGATGACGGTTACGATGATGACTTAAATGTGGCCGGGTTTTCAGGCGAGTTTTATGGGAATATTGATGAAGAGTTTGCGGTAACGGCAGAGGAAGAGGATTCAAATGTGATCTTAAATAGGCAAGCAAAATCAGGGGGAGTGATTCGGCTGGATTGTGTGATGTTAATGGGCTTGCAAAGCATGGGCCGGGTAGGGAGGAAAGTATTGGGCCAAATGATTTTGGAGATGAATTGCAGCTGGATGAAAGTGGGTCGGGTGGCGTCCCTATATCCATTTCAGGCCAGCTACCGAGGAAGAATCTAGAAGTTAACAAAAAACACAAGAGTTTGGGTGAGATTTATGCAAGGGAGATGGGAACCAGATGGATTACGGCACGAACCAGAAGTCGAAAAGAAAGAAGGAAGCAGCTACTGCGAGGGGAGACGAGGCAGGATTTTCAGCAAGCTAGTGCTTCATTGTCCGATGGCTGTATAAAACACAGAAATCGTCTGATTCGAAGGGAATTAGAGCTGGAGGAAGTGAGAAGGTTGTTTGAATTGGGGAAAAGATTGAGTATTGAATGTCAAAATAATCAGGATGAAGTGATGTCCAGGCTCGTATCGTTAGAGGAAAGGGATACAGCCGGTTTCGAGAAGGCCTGAAGCTGGGGGCGGTGTTTATGCTGATGAGTGTGGGTATGTATTTTCTATTATGAAGTTGATTTCTTTTAATGTTAGGGGTCTAGGTAATTTGTTAAAAAGGAAGGAGGTTCTTCGGTTGGTTAGGAAGGAGAATCCTGATTTTTGTTTCTTCAAGAAACGAAATTGGAAGAGGTTGAGGCTTCGATGTGTAAAACCTTATGGAATTCAGAAGATTTTGATTGGGTAAAGCAGAAATCAGTGGCTAGTTCAGGATGCTTCTTGTGCATATGGAATAAGAACAGTTTTGCTAGATAGGGTGTGATAGAGGGTAGTGGTTTCATTGGAATATCTGGTGAATGAGGTCATGAGAAGCTAAAGTGCAACTTTGTCAATGTGTATGCTCCGTGTGATAAACAGACGAAGGCCTCGTTGTGGGTGGAGCTAGGTGGTTTAATATTAGCTGACAGTGGTGGATGGCTTTTAACAGATAGCTTTTAGCAGGGGATTTTAATTCAGTTTGAAATTTGGCAGAAAAAAGGGGTTGAATGGGAGAAACTCAGGATATGGATGATTTTAATCAATTTGTTGAAGGTAATGGGTTAATTGATGTCAGCTTGTTGAATAGGAAGTTTACATGGTACACGACTGATGGAACTTCCATGAGTAGTCTTGATAGATTTTCGTTGTCTACATAGATGAGTTTATTGAGCACTGGGTGGATTCAAGTTGGAGTTAGAAGGTCAATTTCAGATCACTGTGCACTTATTTTGAACTCAAGAAATACATATTGGGGTCCAAAACCTTTTTGAGCAATTGATGCATGGCACCAACACTCAGATTTTCATGGTTTTGTGGAGGATAGATGGAGAGAGATGCAAATTGAAGGCTAGGCGGGTTACAAATGTCAACAGAAATTGAAGTTATTAAAGGAGGATCTTAAAAGATGGAATAAGGGGGTTTCTGGTAATGTGGAGGCTCAGGTTGATAAATTGTCGAAGCAGATTGAAATGTTGGACAAAAAAAGTGAGGAGGTAGAGTTGAATGAGACTGTACAGAATACAATATCAGGTGTCTTAGGTGAAGGTGGGTGGATTGAAAAGCCAGAGTTGGTTAAAATGGAGGCTGAACGGTATTTCAGTGAATTGTTTCAAAAGGATCAGTGGAACCGTCCATTAATGGGGGGATTCAGTTAAACAGAATATCAGTGCAAAAACGGGAGTAGCTGGAAAGGCCTTTTTCGATTGAAGAAATAGAAGATGGTCTCAAGAGTTGTGATGGGTCAAAGGTGTGATGGGTCAAAGGCACAAGGTCCGGATGATTTTAATTTTAATTTTATAAAGTTTATATGGCGCACTTTGAAGAATGATTTTGTGGTTTTTTTAAAGGACTTTCATCAGTATGGAAGGTTAGTGCATGGTTTAAATTCTTCATTTTTAGCATTAATATCGAAGAAATTAAATCCTGTACATTTCAAGGAGTATCAACCTATTTGTTTGATTGGGTGTTTGTATAAACTATTGGCTAAAGTATTGGCCAATCGATTGAAGACTCTAATGGCAAATTTAATTAGTGATTCACAATCAGCTTTCGTTGGGGGTTGGCAATTGGTTGATAGTGTGCTGTTGTTGAATGAGATTGTGGATAATGTGAAACAGAGGAAACAATAAAATTTTATTTTTAAGGCTGATTTTGAAAAGGCATATGATTGTATGAATTGGTCTTTCCTTGATTGGATAATGGACAGAATGGGGTTTGGGGTAAAGTGGAGGAAGTAGATCCATGATAAATCTCAATAATTGAAAGTAGAAAGATGAATGGTTGAGATTTTATATAAGTATAATGTGTAAATTTTGTATGTAAATGGCTTCCTTCTCACATTTATATCTACTTACACTTACACATTATATTTGTTAAGGAATCGTAGGATACTACCTCTTCAATCATGGCTCAATCACATAGGCTATCAATTCTCAATGATTCTCTACATTATGTATATTTACGTTTTATTAGTTTTTTCCGTAAAAGTTAAATAGGGCAACATTAGGACTCACTTGTATATATCTGTAAGCTCGGTGAATAATCAAATTGTCTCTTCACTCTCAACCTTCTTTATCACTTCATTAATATTTATATAAAATCTCAATTATTCATCTTTTTATTTTTGATGGTTGAAATTTATCACAATTTTTAAAGTGAAAAAATAATTATTTTTAATAAATGTGAATAAATTTTAACCATAAAAAATAAAAAAATAAATTATTAAGATTTTATATAATATAGCAAGTAAAATTTATGTGCAAATAAATTCTTACTAGATATATTTGCTTTCCTCTTAAAACAAACAAAATTTATTTGCTTTATTTCTATAAAGAATCAAGATATAGCACAAACACAAAGAAAAAGGCTAATTGAGGGAATATTGTTTACCAAGCATAAGGAAAGGCATTCCAATGATCATCGTGCGTACTCGATCTTGTCTATGCAATGCCACTGAAATAAATGAGTTACATTTATGATTCAGACAGTGAGTCTCATAGCGGCAATATACTGTTGTAATTAAGGTTTTGTTAATTATATTTAACTTTAACACATGGATGAATTTAATTCAGTGATTTATGTATTAAGGTTTGTCCAACTAATATCTTAAGAGAATAAATTAATGATGTAATAAATACATATTTTTTTATAATTAATTTACATAAAAACTTGTAAATGATAATATTTATTTTAGTATTATTGATACATAAATAATTTTAATTTATTAATCATTAAAGTTAAAATCAAAGTCCAATATTTATAA